TTGGCAATAAATCTTGGCTGCGGCAATCTTTTTCTAGGTTGGCCGTGGAAACTCTTGCTGCAACTCCCTACTCAACATATCACCGTAAATCCATAGCAGGACTGCTGCCACCAGCGCCCCGGGCACAGGAGCCAAACAGCAGAAGTAGAGACCAAGGCAGCGGAACAGGTCTCCCTCATTCAGCTCCAGTTGCAAGGTAGCGTCGTCCTGTAGATTCACCCCCAGGTGGGAGCCAGGACGAGAACGAGAGAATCTCAAATTCATGATAAAGCATAAGCAGAAGATAGCGAGTGCTTGAAAGAACTTTATAAAATCTAATCCATTGATCGGACACATTGAGGAATGCAAAGTCGCCAGTTACTTAGATACAGGATACCCTTGCCTCAGGGTCTAACTTCTCCCTCTCCCACCTCTTCTTATATATATATGTGTGTGTGTGTGTGTGTGTGTGTGTGTGTGTGTGTGTGTGTGTGTGTGTGTGTGTGTGTGTGTGTGTTGTTTGTGTGTGTATGTGTATCTATCTATCTATTATCTACCTATCTATCTATCTATCTATCTATATGTATATATATATATATATATATATAATATATATAATATATAAATAAATAAATATATTTAGAGAAAGAAAGAAAAGAATGGAGAGAGAAAGAGAGAGGGAGAAGGGGAGTTCAAAGTCAATAAAATAAAAAAAATATTTCTTCCGTTGCACCAGGTCGCTCTGAAACCTTGTTGCAGAGTGCCTCGTCGTCGGAAAAGTACAGGGGTTGGTCACGGTTCTGTGCAATTCGTGTTTTCTTCATTTTTTTCCCCTTCTTTCCGTGGTGTTGTATGTGTGATAGTCATATTTCTTATCAATTCGGAAATTGTTATATTTGGTATTTCAACGTCTAATTCCCTGACAGGGTGAAATAATGTAGAAATCTATGTTTTGTTATTTTTTATTAATATAGTGTTTCCCGAGCTCTCTTTCTATTTCGATTCATATTTCTATGTACTATTTCTGTATCTAAACCTGGTTTGATAAAGGCAATAATGGGCTTATGATTTTACTTTGTATTATTTTGCGAGATTTTTTAAAACTATTATTTGAAAATTTGGAGTAACTAAGATTTTTGTAATAGATAAAATAAAAAAATAAATAGGTGACTAATGCAATGATGATTAATTGTGATATCTGTTGTAAGAAAAAAAAAAAAATAAAAAACGAGGTTCGATAAAAAATGAAAAAAAAAAAAGAATTCTTGCTTCTTAAAGGATTATGTTCTTTTGTTTAAATGATTACATGGAACATATCCGCAAGCATTAGTTCTTACCTATATTTAAATTATTTTTTCATATGGTATAGACAATAAAACCAAATGAATATCTATCAAATTGATTCAAACTATAATTAAAATTATTTGATTCTTTATTAACATATAGGTTCTAAATCTTTGATTACTGAATGTATATGTGTGTGTGTGTGTGTGTGTGTGTGTGTGTGTGTGTGTGTGTGTGTGTGTGTGTGTGTGTGTGTGTGTGTGTGTGTGTGTGGTGTGTGTGTGATGTGAGTGAGTGAGTGAGTGTGAGTGTGAGTGAGTGAGGTGTGTGGTGTGTGTGTGTGTGTGTGTGTGTGTGTGTGTGTGTGTGTGTGAGTGATGAGTGGCGTTGAGTGAGTGAGTGCTGTGCGTGCGTGCCGTGAGTGCGTGAGTGAGTGAGTGGATTGCGTGAGTGAGTGTGGTGAGTGAGTGATGGTGTGACGTGAGTAGTGAGTGAGTGCTGTGACGTGAGTGAAGTGCGTGTGCGTGTGGAAAAAATGATGTCGATCGTGTGTGTGTGATGTGAAAAAAAAAACAATGTGTGTGTGATGGTAGTGTGTGTGGTGAAAAAAAAAAAAAAAAAAAACATAGTGTGTAAAGTGGCAACCGTGACAGATCGCAAGTAGAAACGATGGCAGTAAATCAAATAGTGAGTGAAAAAAAAAAAAAAAAAAAAAAAAAAACAAAAGTGCAGGCGTGAGTGCGTGCGGTGAGTGCGTGTGTAAGTGCAGTGCTGTGCCGTGCAGTGCGAAAAAAAAAAAACAAAAAAATGCTGCGTGAAGTGACAGTGTCGATGCAGTGACCACTGCGTGAAAAAAAAAATGTGATGTGTAGTGTGTGATAGATTGATGATGTGTTGTGTGTGTGTGTGTGGCGTTGCGTGCCGTGAAGGCAAAAAAAAAAAAAAAAAAAAAAAAAACAAAATAAAAAAAACAACACAAAACAAAAAAACAAAACAAACAAAAACAAAGTCAAGGGAAAAGTGCAGGGCGTGAGAAAAAAAAAAAAAAAAAAAAAAAAAAACAAAAAAAGTACAAAAAACAAGTTGTGAAGTGAGTGAACTGAGTGAGAGTAAGAAATGTGTGTGTAGTGTGTTGAAATGTGTTGAGAATGTGTAGATATAGTGTGTCGTGTGGTGTGATGTAAACCATCGTGTTTGTTGTGGGTAGCAGAAGATTCTTTACACAGTCCAATCGACCGTATCAGCAAGCACATGCATACGTCAACATTTCCTGTTTCCAAAACTTCCAATTCCTCCGGCTGTTCGTCTCCTCTAAACTCCAGCTGGACCATTTTGTGTGTCATGTTTGAGGCAACATTTTAACCCTTCTCTCTGCTCGTTTGATTTGGAAGGATCGCCGATGTCCTTGGGGAAGAGTCCTTTCGTCGAGTCAGAAGTCCCACTCCAGGGGCGTCATCCCGTTCCTCTCCAAAAACCGATTGAGGACTTCGCAGTAGCGTCTGCAGTCCCCCTTGCAGAACTCCTTGACCAACTCCAGCAGCATCATGGTCTTGAACTGCCACTCGTGTTCCCTGGGCAACGAAGCTTCTCCGAATGCCCGAGGTCGAGGTCCCGCAGCCGAGGTGGAGGCGGCAGGAACTTGTACTTGCTCGCTGGAAGGACGAATGCGTCGGGCGTCGAGGAGGAAGGGTAAGCTAAGGTAAGCGGGTTCCTCGTATATGTGTTCTTCCGCGTCGCAAGGTTTGGGAGACTTCGCTTCAGGTGGAGAGCTGAGACCGCATTTCAAAATCTGTTTTAGGTCTGTGATACAGTCGGCAATTTCTCGAGCCTGTTGGAAAGCGCCGTTTTCAAATTAACCGAGCTAACGAAGCTATGCGAGGGTCAAGCATTTCAGGTCAAATATAGGCATATATGTAGTGCAAGTGTTTTCGTGTGTCTCGCGCTATACACAGACGCACAACTTTTTAAAAATTCTACAGGGAAAAGAGAATAAACCATACCTGATTTGTTCGGAAAGAGAAGAGACCCTCTCCATGCATGCACGCCCTGCCAGACCAGATCTTGAATTCGTTCCACGTGTAGCCGAACCGCCGGACGACTTTCAGGGGAAAAAGTGCGATGAGTCGGCCCTCGGCTGAAGTGAGCGTCACGCCCATGACCTCGATGGCCAGTCTCACGAAACCTCTCGCTTGCAACCTTGCTGAAGTCTCGGAATCAGGCATCACAAGAAAGGTTGACCAATCTGCGTAATCGATAAACCACCGTTTGAATATATGTTGTGATGCTCTGTTGGTAAGGATCAGTTTTTAGGTAGGCCTAAACGTTCGATGACACTTACAGCTTTGGTTTTCACGTAGAGGACTTCCTTGTAAGGGCATTCGAGTCGATTCCTGAAAGCTCGGTGAAGGCAATAAGGTCATCCTGATGTCCTGTCAGAAGCAGTAGACTATTATCTTTTCCTCTGTATTTCTAAGATCATTCGTTGTTGCTAAAAGCCAAAGACAATTATATGGTTTGACAAGTAAAGACAATCTGCCGGCTTGTTAGAATTGTGCGAGGCCCGACCCAAAGAATATTCGTATACTTAACATGCATAAATAAAGAAGTAAATGCATATCTATCAGTCTAGACATACATATCAACCGGGCAAATAGATAGTCAAGTGAATATCTATCAGATATTAGAAGATATGCCTTGATTTCTGCGTCTGTATTATGAAAATTATGGGTCGGGCTGCCACATTTTACAAACTGGCCGAATACCTCAGGCAGCTCACCTGACACACGCATACAGCTCCTCTTCGCCGGCAGTGAAGCACGCCACCCGCCGTACGAGGGTGGCGATCTGAACGGAAAGAATGCCAAAGCGCAGAATGCAATGGAAAAAAAGAATATATATTATATATCATATATATAGATATATAGAGTATATAATATAGAGAGTATATATTTATTATATAGATTATATATATATAATATACCACACGATGTGTGGTGGGTATAAATGTTATATATAATATTATAGTATTATGGATATAGATATATTTATGATAATATATTATATAATATATATATGATTAAACATTGTAGTACTTACACACACAGTCATACAATGGAAATAGATAAATAAATGAGATAAAGTATATATATATATATAGTACAATAATTATATATTAATAATATATTATATATAGATATATGAGTATATATATATATATTGATATATATTATACATAGTATACATTACATATATATAATAAAATATACATAATATATATATTGGTATAGTATAGATTATACTAAAAATATATATATAATACTAATATAGAAATAAATTATAAATATTGTATATTATGGTGATTAATAGTCAATATATAATATAAATATAGGAAAAAGATATAAGATAAAATAAAATATATGGTATCGAATAAATATAGTGTATATATTATAGATATCGTATATAATATATAATATGGAAAGAATAGGAGAGGTATATAGTAATAATATATAATAATAAGCTATAGATCATATATAATATATATATAGATATATAATGTGACTAACTACTATATATATAACTGGAAAGTAGCATATTTGTATATCATATATAAAATATTATATATATATATATATATAAGTGAATATTATATATTACTATAACATGGTGTAGCATAACATATGGTATATATATATATACTAGATATATTAAATAAATATACACTATATTATATACTTAAC